CCACACTAATGGATCTGATGTTCGCTTCATCTCAAAAATATTTTCAGAGATGCACGTTAGGAGATATCTTGATAATGGACAAAATTGCTCCAAGCTGGTAAATTCGTCTACAATCGAATCAACATTCGCATTTGTAGCGTTCAGTGTCATTATATTCATCATTTGTCGACATGTTGGTGGAAGCAAACTTCGGAATCCAACTTCGCTGCCATGGATAAGTCCTAACAATGAAACAATGACAAGTATATATGATAAAGAAATGCCGTGCCGCATGGTCTCTGCTTCGATTCTGCTGTAAACGCCGGCTCGTGCTGATATCGAGAGGATGTGTACACGAAAATATGATACGATTTACATTTATACAAATTTTATTCGTTTTTTACAGTTACAAGTAACGTGTCAAGCAGTAAATTATACCTGTATGTATATTGCTTTAGTTTTTTTATCGTGATCACAACATTCATTCATTTCACCAAGCACAACATTAAAGATGTATCAGAAGAAAAAGCCATTTGACATAATCTTTACTTCACTAGGTCAAGTGATTAATTGTGTGCGGGAAACAATGGCTACTTTACCTGTAACAGGTGAGAGTCTCCAAGCATGACTTGACATCACAATAACGTTGACAGCTTAATAGTTATACAAATATTTCACAGCTTGACCTTTACAAAGGTATTTAACGATCTGACACGGGCTTGATTGGTTGGCGAAAGAAAAAATTTGGCAAATCGTTCAGTAGGTATAATTCACTGAGAGTTAAGTGACCTGTTAGTGTGGCTTTATCACGAGTTATACGCCAATTTTAAAATGTTTAAGACATGTGTACATGTAATAATACAATTATGACGTCATAGACAAATGACGCAACACGGTTATATCGACGGTGAAATGCGTTTCAAAAGACTCAAAATTCATTTACTTTCTTAACAACAATGGAATTTGAGTTTTTTTTATTATTTTAGTTCTAAAGAATATGAATTATTAATAAAACTTACCTTCGTGTCCATATTTATTTCACTTCTGTGTGATTCATATCCCGCGACGTTCATGACATCACCCGATATTACGTCATACCTTATCGGTGTCTCATCAAACACGCAAAAAAAAAAAAAAAAAAACGAGAAATCAATATGGCGGTATTGACAACAATACTGCTAAGAGAAAACCGTAATCCAATTAGCATTCCACTGATGGTTGTTTTTGAGAACAGAAAAGTATTCGGTGTCCCTTTCTCAGGAATTACATCCCTTGTTCCTATAATACCTGTATATCTATACCTAACCTATCATTGTAGGATAAAGACAAATGAATTATTACCTGCAATTAGCAATAAACTACTAACATAAGTTATACGGACCAACCTATGTTCCGAAAATAGAAAATTGAGATTTGAATGAACGATATTCCAATTATGTCTAAATTGGTATGGTGATTATATCAACTGTTTTCAAAACTTCCATTCAATACTAAATTTCAATAGTTTCTCTTGTCTCATCGTCAGCACGTGGTTGCTAACGGTAACGGAAAAATCGAGCGTCAATACTGGATACGTCGTGATTATATCAACTGTTTTCAAAACTTCCATTCAATACTAAATTTCAATAGTTTCTCTTGTCTCGTCGTCAGCACGTGGTTGCTAACGGTAACGGAAAAATCGAGCGTCAATACTGGATACGTCGTGGTAATCAAATTATTTTCTAAGTGACCAATAAAGCAATCAGTAAAGAGTTCTTTGAATATCTGTTAGAGGTAAAAGTTTGTTACGCTGGTGCTAATGAAGTTTTAAATTAGCAGGTAATGGATCGTTTCTGACCAATAACAACCTGATAAAAAAAAAAGAATATATGAAAACAAATAATCACATCACACAAATGATCATCATATATCTAGCGAGGGCGCGTATGGGTTATATAAACAGTGGGGACATGACAAATCTAACTGATGAGCGACAAGGTACCTACACTGCGGGGAAACGAAAACTTGTACATACCTACCGAGGGACTAGGAACCAGTAGTTGATCTAGTGTTGGATTCAAAGTGAGAAAAGTGCCATGTGCTTCTCATAATTGTGGCAGGACTTCCTCTTCTAGTACAGATCATCCTGTGGACGCTCTTTGGTCAGTACCACGGACAACTCCAGTCTGAAACTAAACAGCATCGTGGCCTTGAGGCGCTCCGAAAATTCAAAATGCCCTTGTTACGAGATCCGGAAGGCTTCCATAAGGATGTTCTTTCGACCTGACACGGCGCTGTTCCTCAGTGACGACAAAGTGGAGGAACTGTCCAAACAGACAACCTATATATGGTACAATATATCTTGGAATCGCAGGAACCTCACCATTGACGAATTCGGAAACTCACGCAAATGTAACCCATGTAGTTTTATTTAGAAAATTTGATATCAGCATAGGGTTGATGGTAAACTATTTTTACATGAAACATATTTTTGAAAACAAAACCTGTTAATTTTACTTTACAGTTGATATAAAATCAGTTATAGTTAGATTATTTTGTAACCAACAGCTTTTAAGTTATAGGAAGAACGGTGTACAACTACTATTGGATGTTTTGTGGAACAGGTTTGTAAAGACGAGAGAAGATTGGATGTTTATGGGACAGGTTTGTACAGACAAGAGAAGATTGGATGTTTATGGGACAGGTTTGTAAAGACGAGAGAAGATTGGATGTTTATGGGACAGGTTTGTAAAGACGAGAGAAGATTGGATGTTTATGGGACAGGTTTATACAGACGAGAGAAGATTGGATGTTTATGGGACAGGTTTGTACAGACGAGAGAAGATTGGATATTGTATGGGACAGGTTTGTAAAGACGAGAGAAGATTGGATGTTTGTGGGACAGGTTTGTAAAGACGAGAGAAGATTGGATGTTTATGGGACAGGTTTATACAGACGAGAGAAGATTGGATGTTTATGGGACAGGTTTGTACAGACGAGAGAAGATTGGATATTGTATGGGACAGGTTTGTACAGACGAGAGAAGATTGGATGTTTATGGGACAGGTTTGTACAGACGAGGGAAGATTGGATATTGCATGGGACAGGTTTGTACAGACGAGAGAAGATTGGATATTGCATGGGACAGTTTTGTACAGACGAGAGAAGATTGGATATTTTGTGGGACAGGTTTGTACAGACGAGAGAAGAGGTGTGAGAGATATATAATATATACCATTTATCTATTTCTGGAATTTGGAAGCCATCGTTGACCAATTCTCATTGGCGATGTTTCCAATCAGTGACATATGTCTCAACAACAGGGTTACAAGTACACACAGGAGGTTATAGAACACTTCATTTCCGATTCGCTAGAACAAATAACTGTTACATGAAAACTTTCCGCACGTGCGCATTACTCCGCAAATTCAAAAGGGAGTGTGGTAGCGTACTTGCAGAAAAATCAGACAAAATATATACATTTAAATTACCACGGTGACAAAATATTCAGCATTTTAACTTCTGTGTCAATTATATATAACACTTAGCCATATGAATTCGTCTCACGCTGGACATACTTTCACCATTTCTCTTGTGAGGAAATAATACATTCTTTCAGCATGTCCTAGTTCGGACTCTACACTTAATAGATATGAAAGTTATCGAGGTATGATAAAATGTTTGTAATCACTTGAAAACACTGCGTATGTAAAAGCTCCACAATCTTTTCTTTTTTTCTTATTTTTCTCTCGGTTTATCTTTTTAAAGTTTGAATAATGATTTTGTCAGCAATTTGATCTCCTCAATGTTTTTAATTGTCCAAGGTCTATATCGGATACTCTACACCAGACATCGAAGAGTTAAGAGACGGACAACGCATATCTTTTTCTTAAACCCTAATGTGTTGTCTCATGTCCCTTTTGGGGTTGTATATGGGGGATAAAATCTAACTCATTTTTTTATCATCAATCAACAAATTAAATTTTTAAAAGGATAAATAAAACAACACTGTGTAATCTCGTAAAAATACGATTTATTTGTGATAGAAATCACACTGATTTAAAGATAAATGTATATACATTGTAAATTTCTGTAAAACAGTACATTAAATATGGTTCATCTTTGACCAGTTATACTGAGACAATTACAAAAAAATATCACACATTCTGGAATAAATCAAAATTATACAAAATCACAATTTGCAGAATCATTTAATGTAAAATGTAATCACCACATACATGGCACAAAATTTATCAAAGGGTTCCAGGTTTCCCTCCCATTACTATTCACAACTTCTGGAGATTTTTCAAACTTTTTTCTACATTAATACATAATTTATTTATCAATTTATATCTGTTTATTAATTTATCTATCTATTCTGTATAACCTACAATTAACATGTTTGTATTATTGCATCCCGTGACCTATTTTTCATTTTCAACATGATAACTCAATGTCAGTTTAACAGAAAGAAGAGCTTTACTGGGTTGTAACTTAAATGGCCTTCATTGTCTATTATATTATCAGTCTTCTGGTATACACAATTACATCTATAGCTTAGTAATTGCAAACAAAATAAAACCTACTTTTCTGTTTGTTGAAATTACACATAAAGTAATGAAAAAATCCACTACATGAAATTAAACAAATAAATAATGAAGATTCCCTGATTATCAGTAAGTATTATCAATTATTATTTTACAAATTTATGTATTCTTGGAACAGGGTAGGAGTGTGGTGAAATGTGTCACATTGACAGGAAACCAGAAAATCAAACTTTTTCTATTTATGATATTTGGCACATAGTTAAGAACAAATTACTTTGTGCAAACACATATCCTATACATGTACATATATTATACAAAATCATGCCCTATACATGTACATATATTATACAAAATCATGCTATTGTGCAAACACATATATTATACAAAATCATATCCTATACATGTATATATCATACAAAATATACATGTACATATATTATACAAAATCATATCCTATATTATACATGTACATATATTATACAAAATCATGCCCTATACATGTACATATATTATACAAAATCATATCCCATACATGTACATATATTATACAAACACATATCCTATACATGTACATATATTATACAAACACATATCCTATGCATGTACATATATTATACAAAATCATGCCCTATACATGTACATATATTATACAAAATCATATCCTATACATGTACATATATTATACAAAATCATATCCTATACATGTACATATAGTATACAAAATCATGCCCTATACATGTACATATATTATACAAAATCATATCCCATACATGTACATATATTATACAAAATCATGCCCTATACATGTACATATATTATACAAAATCATGCCCTATACATGTACATATATTATACAAACACATATCCTATACATGTACATATATTATACAAAATCATTCCCTATACATGTACATATATTATACAAAATCATATCCCATACATGTACATATATTATACAAAATCATGCCCTATACATGTACATATATTATACAAAATCATGCCCTATACATGTACATATATTATACAAAAACATGCCCTATACATGTACATATATTATACAAAATCATGCCCTATACATGTACATATATTATACAAACACATATCCTATACATGTACATATATTATACAAAATCATGCCCTATACATGTACATATATTATACAAAATCATGCCCTATACATGTACATATATTATACAAAATCATATCCTATACATGTACATATATTATACAAAATCATGCCCTATACATGTACATATATTATACAAAATCATGCCCTATACATGTACATATATTATACAAAATCATGCCCTATACATGTACATTTATTGGTGGTAACTTTATTTTAGCACTTTTTGCAATAAAAGTATTGCACAAAAACCAGATTTTGCTAACTGGAGTATATGTGTGCTGCTCATAATTTTTTTTATTGCAAACATGCTAATTCATCAGTGTGATAATTTTCAAAGGAGATAATGTTTTAGCCTGACATTTCATTGCATCAAATGAGGTACTCTTACACAGACCAGTTTATAGGTACCTGTATGTATTTTGATGTATCCTTCAAGCAATAATCTCAATTATGTTTTTTCTTAAATAAAGTTAGCAATGGGTATATGTATCCTGCACCCTATGAATGTGATTAATAAACATCAGTGAAAATTAAACTGCATTTATATCAAATTTCTATTACAAAAATGCAAAGTCATATTTGTGTTACAGGAAATGATAAAAACCTGGGTATGTGGTTTCTTTGGTATTTCTATTGAGAATGATTCATAGCCATTTGTAAGTAAAATGTATGCTCATCTTCAATACTGAAGTACACTAGATAAATAAAACTTTGATTTTGTGCATAAAAGAAGGTACACAATCATTAAGATAAATAAAAAAATATCCCCGAAATAAATATTCTAAACATTTTGGAAAATTGTAGATCAACATAAGTACAAACTTATACAGCAATTGTTAGCTGTAGTAGTACATAAAACAAACTCTGACATCATTCATGTACATAGCACCAGATCAAAATCAATCTCTTCAGAAAACATTTCTTAGGACTATTCTCCCTTTAGTCATCTGGTAGTACTTTATATGGATTCATTATACCGTTTGGATCAATAGACTTCTTCAGCTGTTTCATCAAGCTTACAGCTGACTTAGATTTGCTGTGGTGAATGAAATTTCTCTTCTTAAATCCAAGTCCATGTTCAGCACTTATACTGCCATTGTACTTGGAAACCCATTCATAAACAAATGGCTCAATATTACTCATCACCTCAGAACTGTAAGTTGGTGAGGTCATATTCAGATGTAGATTTCCTGTGGAGAGAGCAAAACCTCAATTTAGAAACAAAATTTAATAGGTGATTCAAAAGTCACTTGGTTTAGCGGTACATTTTCTATAAGACCTTTCAAGATATTTTGTTAAGAAGTTAATTCATATGTATGTAGTTTAGCTTGCTATTGTATATTCCATTACACAGCAAAGAATTATATATCAAAACCCATATGACACTTTATTTCTTGCTTGTGAGCAGGAAAACCTATTGTGAAGGAGCAGAGGAAATAGCCAATCTGTGAACAGATAACTAATATCAAACTAGTGATAATACCTCTGTCTGAGGATGTCTATTTCAAAATTTCAACAAATCTTACCATCACCAACATGTCCGTATCCCACGACTCTAATTACTGATGCTCCCAGCCTCTCTCTCATATCCTCAACAAGGTTATAGAACTTAGACTGAGGCAGGGACACGTCATACTTGTAACAATAACCATCATGTAACAGTCCTTCTGCCACTCTTTCTCTCAGTGACCAGATATCCTGTATAACAGAAAATAGATCATAAACATGGAATTTTCATTTTGAAATCTGATTTCTGTTTCATTAGCTTCCAATGGTACCATAAACCTGCACACTAACTAAAGTCAACCCTGCCTTAGCGACCAATTGAACTAAGCGACTTTCTGTCATATTTCACCATAATTTTTCCTCTCCATGAAATTTACAATTGAAATGACCTGAAGTAAGCAACTACTTGTCTGATGCAGCAGGCAACCATCATTTCTGTATTCCAATTGCCTTAACTTTATACCTCATCCCTCAGAGGAATATCACAAGATCATCAAAATTTGTTTCTAGCAGCATGCTAGTTTATAATGACTCAGAAAAACAAGCTAATTGATAGAATTTTAGACTCAATGATTATGTAACTTGATGCTTTTAATGTGTTTCTGTTAAACACTAGCTACTATATACCTCATGACCAGAGAGAACTTATTTATAGCTTAACTGACTGAGTGTCCGACTAGTAATTCAGTGGCTTGTTCAAATCCCACCTGGCGCGTTAAAATAAATAATGACCTGTGTTACAATAACACAGGCTCCAAGTCCTTTGAGTATTTTTAAGAAATCATCTAAAAAAATAAAAGTTTGACTCTAAAGCTTTCAGGTGATGACTGCTGAATTTAGAATTACCTTGATTTTCAAGGACTCTGTGACTACAGTGCCATCTGTTACTAAACCTTTCGACATCATGGCTTCCAAAAATGTGTTCAACTTTTCCTCATCGTGGTCTCCATTGGATCCAGAAGTTTCAATCAGAACAAAGAATGGATAATCACCAATAGGCGAAGACATCTTGAGGTTTTCCTTATTCACCGATACTGATGCCTCGTCCAGGAACTCATAGGCTGATAAAATCTCCGCTAACATTCCTTTAGCTTCCTTGTAGATATCCAACACTTTAGCAAAGCTCTCACAACCTGTAGAATTGTGTAAAAGACACACAAGTCAATAGCACCTTTTCACGCAATTTAGAATTAGACACAGTAGAGCCAGATAATGAACAAAACTGCATCATACTGCTGTTTTGTTCCGTGATTCGTCAGTGATGTTAAGGGCTTTAATTTCAAAACTGAGCTAGCGACTTAGTAAAACATGGTTACAAACATATGTCATATTTTGAAGTTCCCCATTTTCAACAGCAGATCATGGAAAAGCAATGGGGAGGTGCAGTAGCCCCACGATTAAATAGATCTAATCATTTTCATGTTTGATAATTTTAAAAGAGTGTAAAGTACATGTGTATATTCTCATTTATACATTTGATTATGCTTTTTCTAATATTTTGTACATCTAAATAACAAATCTATATATTACATACACATAGTTGAAGGCCTCTCAACTTTCCACATTTGAAATAAGGAAGAAGTTGTAAGCAAAAAACTGACTTTGTTTTCAGATTCCACAATGTATACTGTCATATGAGACAAAATAGTGGTGTAACACTGCTTGTTTGAGCCGTTAATGCAATGCACGCATTTAGCAATAATACAGAATCAAAACAGTAATTCAAAGTGAAAATCAGGGAAACTATCGAAATGAAAAAGAGTGATGATATTTAACTACTACGCCAAACACTTAGAGTGTATCTTGTTCAAAAAGTTCTATGGGAAAAAGTCAGATCACCACATCCATGCACTTTATTATCCTTGCTTGATAAATTCCTAAAAATAGTTAATGGTGACCTTGAAAAATTAAACTGTTTGTTTGTTGACCTTTGTGTTAAAGTGTGATCAAAATCGTTTCAGCAGATCACAACACAAAATTGGCCTATTTCTTTTAAATAGTAATGATGACTCTGACCCTGGCACCCTGCAACACAAAATCATTTAAGAAAGTATCAAGACTGACCTCTGTTTTAATTTTTTGTCAAAACCTGATGACCTCTGAACCCTGTGTACTTCACACATGCATGTTAGTAGATAATAATGTACATACAAGTGTAACAGGACAACAGAGATTAGACAATTAACCAATGACAGAAAGATCAGAGAATCAACTCGAGTTAGAGCCTGGCTTCAGTATCAACTTACCTAGAAATGCTACACTAACAGCAGACGGTTTCTGTGGGCATAGAACAGAGGCTGCTGTGACAATCCCTAGTGTCCCCTCGGACCCTATAAACAGCTGTTTTAGGTCATAACCTGTGTTGTCCTTACGAAGTGTAGACATACAGTCCAAAATTTCTCCATTGGGCAAGACCTATGACAAAACAAACCAAGTGATAATAAAGTTATGTTCCAGACAATAAAGGACGGACAGAAAGAAAGACAGACGGACACACAGACGGACATGGTGGTGCCTATATGCTCCCCAGAAAATTTTCAGGGAGCATAAAAAAAATTATCAGAAAGTTGTTTGATCCCTGTGACCTTGAAAGTAGGTTCAGGTCATTGATTTGAACAAACTTGAAAGTTCTTCATCCTAGCATGCTATACTGGCCAAAAAAAGATGACACTGGTCTCATGGTTATTGAGACAAAATCATCTAAGTAAGCAGTTAACACTGGATGAGGGATGAATAAATGATAGAGAATAGACAACAAATACAGCATTAGCTCACTTTTCCTTCGAGCAGGTGAGCTAAATATAGAAAAGGGAGGTGCCCTTGATCCTTATTGACTCCACAGTAATTGATATTTAAAGGTGATGACAAGATTTAGTCAGCTGTTGATGGTAATACTTACAGCTTCCACACCAAGGATGCTGCCGTGCAGTGATCCATATCTGAGGAGGCGAACACCTCCTGCATTTGTTGCTATATTCCCACCAATGTGACAACTGCCTTTGGCTCCAAGATCTAGTGGAATGGTAAGATTATAATCTGCTATATATTCTTCTAGGTTTCCCAGGACACATCCAGACTGACACACCAGTGTTCCTGTAAGAAATCATCGGATCTATCAAATCTCAAATATTGGCTACAGATATCCAATGTTAAGACTGAAGTATGGTACTAGTTAGATAAGTTACTGGCCTTGATGCACTTTATCAATCACTCAAAGGCATAACTACTGTACTACATTGGAATCACATGTTAAACATCTATAATAATTACCTGCTGGGGCTAGACAACAACTTGTCCTGAGATATGCAACTTTATCAAAGTAGGGGTTAAAGAGACAAGCTGTTAGTTTACTGGTTGGTACGAGATTTCTTGGTGTGAACTTTTTCAATAAAAGCCAGGGTAAGAAGTCAAAATGCAGTTCACAGCGACCTACTCTTTGTTATGTTCTGTTATACTCATGAAACAGTATGTAGATTGAATGTCAATTTTATCTTAAATCCACAGGTGGTTAATTGGCAGAAATGCGTGAATCCAGCGATCGATGTATGTTTTATGAATAATTTAACAATATTTTACAGGAGCTTAAAACAAACTTCAAACCAATAAACCCAAGGTCGATATATGTTGTCTAGTAACTATCCTGCATCACAAGAGCTTTGGAAACAAATGTCCAATGCCCAAATCCACGGAACACATATTTGTATAATAGAGGTCATTATTTATTTTAATTCCTCCGTTAGGGTATTGAACCAAAGACCTCTGGCGTATAGTTGTATGCTCAACCAATCAAGTGAAAGAACAGTCCTCTCTAGCTAGCCAAGCAAACACTAGCCAAGCAGTATATTACAGCTAGTATTTAGCAGGATTGTAAATGTGTATTACATATATATAGTTCTAAGTGTATTAGTCATATTACATGAAGTAAAATTTTGCGTCTATCACATGCTCTTGTTATTTATAGTCCTGACAGCACCTGTGAAGGTTTCTTCACAACTAAATCAATAGCCAACAGTTAATGATAGTGCTGGTAATTACCTGAGAGTTCATCAAGACTGATAATCTTGTTTAACAGCTGAGTTGAAACTACCACTTCATCAAACACAGGAACACTCCCACCAACCAGACCTGTGTTACCACCCTGAGGAACCACAGCTAGTCGTCGTGTATTACAGTAATTGAGAATAGCAGATACCTCCTCCGTTGTCTTAGGTCGCAGAACAAGTTCACTGCACCCTGAAAAATGTTAAAAGGAAATTTAAACAATCAAAGATTTTCTTGTTTGCTGTACTGTTTTGTTGACAGATCCTAACTTGTTAGACAACTTAAACTCAAGTGTGATTAAGCAATTAACTGCTTTCACTTGGCATTCATAGAAATATGAATACCAACAGAATTACAGTAAATTCAACATTGAAGTACATTATTTGCCTTTATTCTGTTGGCATTTATATACAAATGAATGTCGACTAAACACAGTTCAATGCTTACATTTATCATTTTCAGCTTTTATCTTGTTGTAATATTGCTTATTTGCTGAGTTATCTCCCCTTGAATAGCCAGGGTCATTGAAACCAAACAACAGCCCATGGGAATCAAACTAAAAATAATACATTTCTGATGTCAGCTTATAAAGACAGAATTATACTTCCAATATTTATAACAGGATGCTGATTACAATTGAACCCAGATATCTGATGTGATAATCCACAAATGAGCTAAACATGGAGACTTTATCAACTGAGTTACAGATTAAACAGAAAGTAAACAAACTACATCAACCAACTGTTGTACGGCTATAGGTATTGGGGAAAAAAAACTGTTCAACTCATTACTAAATGTACTTATAACAATGGCAAACAAGAAATTCAGTGTTAACACTGTGATAAACTATACATTATTATATACATATATATAATATATGATAACTTTTAGTTTTTTTTTTTTTCTAATGGCATATATGTATATTAAGCATCCTTTCCGTTTACTCCTATCCCACATGTTGCAGGTATAGGTAGTATGACATCTTTTGCTGGATTTCAAGCTTTCTAGTCCACTTTTTGTTTACTTTGTGTTTTCACTTTCCTTCATTTTGGTTGCATGCTTTGTTCTATTCCTATTTCAGCTTCAAGTTTGCTTTTACCACGCATGTTGTGATTATGTAGTTAAATGACTTTACGCTTGCTATCAAATGCCTATATCATACATGACTCTGCTCGAACTGTATTTAATGATATTTTCCAGCACAGGTTCCTTTAGAGATCCTCTTCACTGGACTCGTCAGAGTTAGTATTATAATTAGATCAAATGATTTGCTTTTGTAATTTTACAGATATTATTTTATGATATATGTACATGTACTTTCATCTTGCATGACTGGTATTTTTTGTTTATAATAGATCAAACACGTGTTTGTCTTAAAATAGCTATACATAGGTAACGTTTGTACATATACGGCATAAAATAGATCTGGTGTTGTACATATGTATCTTTAAATGCACAGCAGTGTCGCAATGACACCGGAGTCCCTAGTTAATTTCTTGTTATTCTACCTTCTACACTATGCAAATTATGTCACCTCTACATGTTTTCAGCCAATCAGTGTTGTATCCTTCTATCTCGGATGCGTCGGCTAAAACTCGTCCAGCACCGGACAACAAACGTTCGAAAAACTGCACATCTGTGTCTTTGAGAACTGAAAATGGACCTCGTTTCAAATTCGGGTAACGGACCTTTGTCAGCTCTACAGAACGCACCGGGACTGTTGAATGCAAGGATCGGCAGCTTCTAAATGCATCTCGGGTCGATTTCTTGATTAAAAAGCAACCAATTCGAGAAACTGCATGATGAATTCTCATGTTGACAAGTCACAACTCCACGATTGCTTTCATTTAGTATGTCGATCCTAACCAAGTCTACAAATGTTTTAAAATTGTTATTTGAAATACGAAAAGATCTAGAAGTCTTGATTTTATTAATCTTATATAATGGAGAGAACTTTCAGATATGCTACTAAATGTTCAATTATCACGGGCAGTCTTAATAAAATAATTTGACGTTGATACCGACGGTCCGTCTAAATAAAAGAAAAGTCCTAACGTAAATCAGATGTATGCTTGATTTCCCATGGTAAGTCCTTCGTTCCAATCAAACGTTTAGCCTGTGTGTCATGGGGAAGAGTAAAAGTCAGAGGAAGGCAGGTTCCGGATTTATATTTAAAGATGTTAAATGATTATTTATCTAGTTTTTGAAATTATTATTATCATTATTTATGCGTGTGTAAAAGGTCAAACTGAAAGCATCATTGGGGTAGAGGAACCAGTTTTGTTTAAATGTTGTAATACAAGTATTTTGACCGGTCTGAAACGTTTGTGGACGGCAATCATTAATTAGATAAATGAGTTTCTTTAGACACTTGGGGATACGGAATGACTTTCATCATTTTTACGAAGTGTCTAGATATTTCAGAATGTATATTCATAACATATTTCTGTGATACTTCAACAAGTCAAAATGAGTACCATAACATGCTAACAATAGCAGCACCAGTTATTGTGTGGTTGAAAATTCAAACCTGTTGGTTTGGTTGGGGCGAAACGTCCACTTCTTATCATGACTCACATTAAAACGTTAATTTAGAGTTAACTCTGATGCTGCTGCTGCTGCTGCTGCTGCTGCTGATGATGATGATTGTTCGTGTCTCCATCTCCATTACTCTTCCCGTTTCCGGGCGTTGTCCAATCGTCAATTCTCAGGCGATGTTGTCAGAGAGAGTCTCCCGAGAGAAACTGGCTCTCCAATTTGAAAGTCTTACATGATTTGTCATTTGCTATAACCCATCTGCCGGAGTTAAACTCTATCAAGTCATAATGCTTGTGATCAACAAGGTTATATATACTGATGTTGAATCATTCATTTTCGCGGGGATTTCTTTTCATTGATTTTCGTGAGTACATTTAACCCGCGAATTCATAAGTCTTCGAACTTTTATAATGAATGTAAGAACATTTATTGAACTAAATTTATCCATAAAATCAAACGTCCACAAAATACACATTTTTGATAAACCGCTAAAATTGAGCCCACAAAAATATATGATTTTACAGTATATCCACTTTTTAAAGGAGATTGATCACTATTTTGTCTTTTGAAAAATGTGTTGCTGTGCGGCAGCCAACGAACTTTACAAATATATTATACAAAAGGACGAGAGAGTATAACGCTATCTGATGGTTCTGACTGGAATTCCAAGAATTTTTCAAATTCTGTTGTTCGCAAACAACAATTATACCTCTGTTGCAAGGTGGACTTTTGAGAAACATGTCAATTTTCACTTTTGATAATACTTTTTACAATGTATTAGGTGATATTTGTCCTAGTGACAAGCAAGTATATATTTGTCGTACTAGCGTGGTCGTGTGTTAGATAACATTAGATCACATCGGTCCTATTGTCATTACCTGGATTACGTAAAGGTCAGACTCCAGTAGCAGCCATGCCTCGTGCTAATACAAGAGCACAAATGTCAAACATCAATATCTTCACATCATGCATCTCGGACAAGCATGTCTCCACGCTGTCAAACTTTGAATTCCATTCCATAAAAAAATTTCAAGACCAGTTATTATCTCCGCCGTTTTCCGTTTTAATAACGTAGTGTTCTACACGTGTTCCTGTTTATATGTGTGTATGTTATGACACGACCGCTGTCTGCCCTATTATAACACTAAGTAAAAATCTGTTGAGGAGGTGCAAGAACAAACAAAGGAAATATTCAAACGTCGACAAATCAGAGAGGAAAACTAGTCGGTTTGTCATCCTTATTGCACTATGTATCTGTATAAAGACGAATTTCTTAATTGCTGATTATCACGTTAAAACAATACAGTAGAGAATTCGTGGATATAAAATCGGAGTCCGACAATCAAATATGATTTAATTGTAAGTTGCATTCTTCTTTGGCAGCCTTTATAGTATTTTCATTTCATTTTTGTTCGACATGAGCGAAAAACCAAAACGAGTTAAGATTAATTGTCGAAATATAGAACTTGTATGAAATCCAATTTTCTATCATTATCATAATTTCCACTGCATTGGTTAAAAACACCGACATTTAGGGCTTTTTGGATGTAACGTTTTAATATTTGTTTGGTTTTCACATCTGTACGGTATTGTGAAATATCATTATCTTAAAATGTGGTTAAAAATTTGAATTTGGACGAAATATAATTATATAACACAATTAGTATTTTATTTATCATATCAATAATAACATCTTTGATATTGTTGTTGATAAGTGCACAAGTTGAACGTAATGCCGATATATTTGTGCTATCCCTTAGTCTAGTACATGTCGTTGATAACATATAAAAATGGATTAATACAACCTTCTAGTTTGTTTTCCAATCCTCAGCATGCATTGTTTATCAAACAACTGCTGTGCGACAACTAATCAAATAAAATCATTTAAACTACATTGTAACATATGGGAATCGGTGCCTGGTTTATCATCTATGTGGTGATATAACAGTTATTGCATTCATGCATAAAACTTGACCACATTCTTAATACGAAAAAGGAAAATATCGGAAAGAGTTTAAATTTAACTTGAGCAAATAGTAGTTGTACGGTCGTTATAGTGATGTCGTTGAGAAATATTCTACGCTTTGTGTGACATGAAGCTGGACGTGTTTAATGCTCGTTAGTTTGCCTGTTGGTTCTGTTGTTGTATACCTTGTTCTCATTTGAGAACCTTACATTACTGACTTGGATTGACAAAGATTTACATGGCGTGTGTCGTCGATGAAACAAAAGATGCTTACTCTTCTGGAACATCTGGTTTTATTCTCCTAATACTTTTCCAAGTGTCTCCGTGTCAATTTTATTTTGTTCATATTTTTCACTAGTTTTATTGACTATGAGTTTGGATTACGATTATGTTGACATTTTGATATTTTCGTTTTGTTTAGTGATATTATAACTGATGAAGATAAGCCTAGATAGTTGAAAATAATAGCCGTACATTTGTATCGAAGTTTTCCTTCATCCATGATATAGATTAACTAGGATTTTACAAAATGAGACACAAGTGAATAGAACTTTCCATTAATCTTGAGAATTAGATAGAGTATAGTCAAATAAACAAACTTCGTTATTTAAGTAGTTTCATCTTTTTCGCACTTGTTAGTAACGATGAGAGCTTAAATTGTTGAAACTTGGTAGGCGACTAAAGAAAGTCCAGACTTGCCGAAAAAATATACGCGTGGTTTGGTCACCAACAACAAAATTCAATGAATTTCATACTTTTCGATAACAGATGCTTTTAAAAGAATGAGAAGCATATGAGTATATTCCAAACAGTGCCACTGTTCGAAATTATCAAAATATGGCATGCAGGTAACAGCAAACCCTGGGGATGATCCATCAGCAGTGTCTAAATGAATATTGTACAAATGGGAAGAAAGCAACAAGCGAAAAATGAATGTATTTATTTCTATGTAACAACTAACAATTTGATCAGACATATTTGATGAAACACAGCGGGTTAATCTGATCAGGACTGAAGACATCGGCCTAATGAGAAAAATAAATATGACATGTAGTTTCAGGTCACGGGTAATACGCAATATGATTTTAGCTTATGATAAATGTATCTCCATTACCGCATCTCCAAACAAAGGTTATTATCATTACAAAAAATTCATTGATTTTTTTTTCCTTTCTGAATACCATTCTAACAACATTATAAAAAGACCTCATATCTTATTTCCGTACAAGGTGGTAGCCATCAAGAATAATGTTCTTATTTAATAATCTGATAGAACATTAAGAATATAAAATGTTCAAATTAGATCGAATAAAGGATGCGTTTTGTGTATACGTTGTATTAATTACAGGTATGAAATTCATTGATATACTTCAAATATAGATACACCTTTGAAATATTAATATTGTATTTTCAATTAGAAATGATTTTTTAACATTTTGTTTTTATTCAACCCGACATAAACAACGCGCGTAAACCATTAAAGGAAACCATTTTTTACGACCACACGTAGTTTAAGATTGTGCACTGAGAGAAATATAAAAGCACGCCAAATGTATACCTCAAATGTTGATGCTGCGATATCATAGCAAAAGTCTGCAAATAATAAATAAAACAAATAAACAAATAAATAAATAAAATGATCTTAAGATATGATGTCACTTGTATTATACATTGCATTAACAAGAGACAACGTCGTTACCCTATTGTGATGATGTCGTTACCTGCTTGTGATGACGTCATTACCCGATTGTGATTACGTCGTTACCCTATCGTGATGACGTCGCTACCGATTGTGATGACGTCGTTACCGATTGTAATGACGCGATTGTGATGACGTGATAGTAGTTTAGATAAGTCTTCCTTCAGAAGAATAATCGAAATTAAATCCCTCTGCAGTGAGGTATTTTTATCACACTCCGAGAAATAGGATTTTTGTATCTGACATTCATTTCTTTCTATATTTTTTTCTGTACTACGTATGTTATGTAATGTGCTGTAATTGGAGAACATAACCGGTATTCACAATTCAAACAAAATAATAAACAAAACATTAACACACACACACCAAAAAAAAAAAAAAAAAAGAAAAAAGAAAAAGAATAGTTTATTGAGCTTCAACAGGCCTCTGAATACATCTTAGCTGTACGAAGGGTTACCTCCCGTTTGTCTTTTTGGAAAGTCATAACGCTATATATCACACAGGAATATAATTTTGAAAATCTGCAGATTTATTTATATATTTCAAATACTTCAACATATGAATTTAGTTGAAGAAACAGCACACATAATTATAAAAAAATAAATAGAATT